TATTACTTTTTTGGGGAACCACAGTTCCCAGGGTTCTCCAGTTGGCATGAGCACTGGCAGTAGCAGTGGAATTGTGGGAGTTCAAAACAGGGATATCTCCAAGCTCTGCCCATTTCACTGCTGTTAATCATACTGCACCTCTGTGATAATACATTGTCCAACTTCTGTTTTTAAGCCTTAAATGTACAGCCCAAAATGGTAACTAGAAAATGCAGCTCTTCGCTTCAGCATTTCTTCTCTTGCCCTGCTACATACAGACTAGTTTTAAGGGTGGCGGGAGGGGGAGAGACATTCTCCACGCAGAAACTGGAGCCTGGCCATTACCCTTTGCACTGATGCTTCGTAGGTCTGTGATCTTCATCAGCATTTTGGGGAACATATGGGGTTTGCTAGGTCGTCTCTTCCTCACATAGATTTTCAGGGCCTCCAAAAGTGGCTCTTGTAACTTATCCACTCGGTCTGGCTGTTCCAGGTCCTGCCGATCTGATGAGGAAGCGCAAGATTAGAAAAGCATAGATATAAATCAGCCCATGAAGAACTGTGCATACTCTATAATTACAGAGACAACTGATGTGCTAAACAAGTTTGCATGCATATTTGCACATAAGAGCACATTTCCATGAGGTTAGTAAGTCTGTTAACATGCAAACATACATACCCTACCCTCTATCTCAAACATTTCTTTGCAATTTTTACCTAACATAGTCAATAAGCATGCAAAGGGACCTAGTAGCATTTTTTGAGATTAACTGTGTGAAAGAAATTGTAGTATAAGCTTTCATAGACTTGATCTACTTCCTCAGATGCATAGAGTGAGGTGTTGTCCAGGAAGAACCTTTATAATAAGTCTGTATGAATAGCCATAGAAATGCAAAACCTGTGGGTATGGTGATGAAGTGACAAATGCAGTTTTAACTATGGTTGTTAAAGAATAAAAACTCATCACTTCATCATCATACCCACAGGTTTTGCATTTCTATGGCTATTCATATAGTCTTCATATAGTGCTACCTGGGCAACGCTTTACTCCATACATCTGAGAAAGTAGACCAAATCTACAAAAGCTTATGTTACAACTTTTTTCACACAGTTAGTTTCAAAGGTGCTACAAGATCCCTTCGCACACTGATATTTCAGAATAACATGGCTATGTCTCTGAATTCTACCCCCATGGAAAGCATCGTATTCAATAAGTTAAGAGTTAATAAGTTAAGAGATAGGAACCAGGAACTATGTTTCATGGAACTATGTTTCATATGCTGTTCTCTCTCCAATGTATCAAGGCTAGTACTGTATTTGTGCCCATTGGCTGCAACTGCTTTTTTCGTTCCTTTCAACTCTTCAAAAACTAAGCTGATGGGTCAGAGATTGGCATTTTGAGCAGCACTAGTGTAGAGCACTTTCAAATGCAGTTTGCATTTAGGAGGTGCGATGTATTTGTTGACCTCATTTGTAAACCTCACCTCATTTGAGACAGAAAGTACAGGACATAAATTATCCAAATAAATATCTACACAAACATATCCTGTTATTTTTAATTAAGATCCGTGGGACAAAGCTCAACATGTCCCCACTCCAGGAAGATACAATGAGTTTTTAAGGACATGCACAATAAGGGAAAAATGAGCAACCTCAGTAATAAACAAACCCCTTATTGTGAAAAAATTCCACCTTTCAGATTGCAAAGTTACAAGGTGGTGACCACTGTGTTCCACGTTGATTTTCATATTAGTAAGAGCCAGAAACTATTAGGTGATTGTTGTGTCTTCAAGTCATTTCTGACTTATGGCAACCCTAAGGTGAACCTATCACAGGGTTTTCTTGACAAGATTTGTTCACGCCTTCCTGAGTCTGAGTGCATTTATACTGTAGAAACAATGCAGTTTGATAGTATCTTCTCTGCCATGGCGCTATCCAGGAGAATCCTGGGATTTCTAGTTTTATGAGGTACCAGGCTTCTTTGGCAGAGAAGGCTAAAGACTTTGTAAAACTACACATCCCAGGATTCCAGATGGAGCTACAACACTTAAAGTAGTATCCAACTGCATTTTTTCTACATGCCAACATTAGGTTAGAGTTATTTCATACCTTGGTATGTTTTAGGAGCCGTGGTTCTCAACTTTTGGTCCTCCACATGTTTGGGATTTCAGCTCCCAGAACTCCTGAGCATTCTAAGTTCAAGTTGGGACATTTGGGAGTTGAATTCCAAACCATCTGGAGGACCAAAGATTGAGAAATACTGCTTTAAAGCATAAGGGGTTTTCTACAGCCAAACCAATTAATGAGTGGGAATTTGAAACATACACAGTGACACATACAGTCATAAACACACATGTGACATTTCATTTGAAGAACCATTTGAAGATGAACCTACAATTTTAGAAAATGAAGTGGAAGCCACACTTAGAGTACTTCAAAGAAACAAGTCACCAGGAACAGATGGCATACCAATAGAGTTGCATTAAGCTACTCTACTCTAATTCATACTAAAATCTGTCAACAAATGTGAAAAAGAAAACAACGGCCCACAGATTGCAAATACTCAATATACACTTCAATCCCAAAGAAAGGGGACAACAGGAATTGCAGTAACCACAGTACCACTGCATTAATTTCCCATGCAAGCAAAACGATGCTCAAAATTCTACGATAAAGACGTCTACCATATACGGAGCGAGAAATGTCATATGTTCAAGTTGGGTTCAGGAAAGGAAGAGGCACTAGGGATCATATTTCAAACATACCTTGAATAATGGAGCACAGCAAAGAATTTCAGAAGAAAATCAATCTGTGATTTCGGAATGATACCAATGCCTTTGGTTGCATAGATCATGAAAAATTATGGATCACTCTTAAAGAAAAGGATGTGCCATAACATTTGATTATCCTGATGTTAACAAGAGACTACTGTCAGGATAGAATATGGAGAAATGGAATGGTTTCCAGTTGGCAAGCAGGTCAAGCAAGGCTGCATTTCATCACGCTATGTCAGTGGTCCTCAAACCTTTTGGGGTTACTGCTCCCTTCCCTCTTAGGCAATAATCCTAGTGCCTCCCAACACATAGTTCTTGATATTAGGTCTACTGGCTGTGTGGCAGCCAGCTGGCCAGTGGCATCTATTTCTACCATGCCCAGCTTGCCACCATCTCCTGCACCTCCTCAGCTTCTCATGTGTGAATAAAGCAAAGGCGGTGGTCCAGGTGTGTTTATCCCTCTCTCCTGCACTGGCCAAACAGCAAAAGGAAGGCTGCTGCCAGAATGCTCAGTTGCTGCTCCCAGGGTGACCAGGTGTAAAAGGTACAGGGTAACCAGGTGTAAAAGGTACAGCACCCTAGCATCCAGGTGAGCCACAACCAGGCAGCTGCTCACCTTAGGAACAGCAACCGAGCAGCAAGTGAGAACCCTCTTGCTTATAATGGCCCTACAGCAAAGACCAACATGGGTGAGAGGCTTCCTGGGCACTGCTTGACCAGCTGCTCAGTCACTGTTCCCAAGGTTACTGGGTGCAAAGGGAAAACCTTCTCACTGGTGAGGAAGGACTCAAGCCTTCTTCACTGGAATGGAGAGGAGCACAGCTAGCATCCCACTTTTCTCCCCAGTGAGGAAAGACTCTCAGGCAAAGGACTATTTCAAGGAATCAACCTTGGATACGCCTTCCCTTGAGATGTCTTTTCCTCACACAGCTTCATATTATCCCCCGCCCCACAAAACACTGTTTTTTCTACCTCTTCTTGCAACCTGTCTGATGAAAGGAAGCAGGAGCATCAGAGCAGCTCCAACCTGCCAGCCAAGTCCCCACAAAACTCACAAAGCTTTAAGTAGGTTCTCAAATGTGAAAGCTCTTTTTTGCACTGCTTCTTTCCCACCACCACATGCTCTAACTCCTGATCGCCACCATGGTCCTAAAGGCAACTGGCTCCCCATGTCGTTCTTGCATGCTTATGCTTTGACTGAAGCCCCACCACCACCCCTTTTTTTCCTCACTACCCACTGGATCTTTTCAACCCCCCTGGAGAGGCATACTGTCCACTTTGGAAACCACTGTCCCATGTTTTAACTTGTATGCTGAATATATCATACTTAAAGCAGGACTGGGCTCAGAGGAAGGAGATATGAAAACTAGAGAAAGGAACATCAACTATTTAAGATATGCAGATGACACAATACTACTGGCAGAAAATAGCAAAGACCTGGAATGCTTACTGAACAAAGTCAAGGAAGAAAAAGCAAAGGCAGGCTCACATTTGAATATTAAGAAAACAAAAATAATGACCACAGATGATTTACATAACTTTAAAGCTGACAGTAAAGACATTGAAATAGTTGAAGATTTCCCATACTTTGGCACAGTTGTTAACCAGAATGAAGAAAACAGTCAAAAAATTAGAAGACTAGGATTCGGAAGGGCAGCTATAAAGGAAGTGGACACGATCCTGAAGTTCAAGATCACTGAATAATAAAGTTAGGATGGTCCATGCCATCCTATTTCCCATTAACTGTGTGACTGTGAAAGCTAGACAGTGAATAAAGCTGATAGGAAGAGAATCAACTCATATGAAATGTGGTGCAAGAAAAGAGCTCTACAGATATTGTAAACTGCTAAACAGATAAATAAATGGGTGTCAGAGCAAATCAAGCCTGAAATCTCCCTAGAAGCCACAATGACTAAAGTGAGACTGTTGTACTTTGGCCATGTCATAAGAAGACATGACTCACTAGAAAAGACAATACACCCTAGTAAGGTAGAATGCAGCAGGAAAAACATTCCAGATGATTAGCAACTAGGGTTGGATTCCCCATTTGATCATGAAACCCACTGGGTAACCTCGGGCAGGTCACATGCTCTCAGCCTCAGGGGAAGGCAATGGCAAACCTCCTCTGAACAAATCTTGCCAAGAAAACCCCATGATAGGTTCCCCTTAAGTCAGAAATGACTTGAAGGTGCACACAACAACAACAACAACAACAACAACAACAACAACAACAACATCATATTGAGAGCCAGTGTGGTGTAGTGGTTTGAATGTTGGACTATGACTTTGAAGACCAGAGTTCAAATCCCGGCTTGGTCATGTAAACCTACCAGGTGATGCTAGGGAAGCCCGCCTCAGAGGTTGGCAATGGCAACCCCCCTCTGAAGAAACATGCCAAGAAAACCCCATGATAAGTATGCCTTAGGGTCACCATAAGTCGGAATTGACTTAAAGACCCAACAACAACAACAACAACAACAACAACAACAACAACAGAAATTATCAAGGAAGCCACAAGCTCTGAGCTGCAAGATCTGAGCAGGGCTGCTGATGATAGGGTGCCTTGGAGGTCTCTCATTCACAGGGTTCCCGTACGTTGAAGTCAACTTGATGGCAGTGAACAACACATACATACATGCATGCTTCTCTTTTGGATTTATCAAAGCTTTTAAAAGCATGATTTTTCATGTTGCCCAAAGAACCTCCTGCCAGCTGGTGGTGCTATTGTGTAGAGATGTAGCACACTAAAGAGGCTCTCCTGGCCTCCTTTCCTCAGCTTCAAGAGAAGTGTGCTGTTTGTGAGCAGCAGAAGAGCAAAATATAGTACTTTGTACAGAAGAACTGATATTTTAATGGACAGACCAGCAAAAATTGTTTCTAGCTTGTCTGTCCACCAGAAAATTGTAAAGCAAGACTAGGCAACTTTAAAGCAGGACTGTGGGAAGTTTGAAGCAGGATTGAGGCTAGGGACCTTAGAATTGATCCTGGACTGCTGTATCTCTCACAACTGAAAACTGTAGCAGGCTGCAAGAACAACAACAACAAGACCCAGCGCTTTAAAATGAGAATTTCCCGTTTGCTTTAAAGCAGTTTTCTCAGTTTGCTTCTGGAATTCAATGGTACAGGTTTGGGGGGATGGATAGGGAGGGCAGTATACAGTGCATGAGCTTACCCCCGTAGCTTAAAGATATGTACACATCATCCTGTGAAGGCTCAAGAAACCCCACTCAGGGTCAACTGCTAAACTGTATATAAGGGCACAAGGAGTTCTCAACACCCTTAAAATGTTGAATTACTCTGGCTAACTGGGGAGAAGTAGGGTTTGGGTTTGTAGAGGAGAAACCAGAAAGGCAAGAGTTGATTTGTGGCTTCATAAGGATTTTGAAGAATGGTGGATTGAGGGTCCCAAATAAAAATTTGCTGTAAATTTGTTCTTGTACAAATCTTAAATATAGCCTGTGGGATAAGTCAAGCTAACTTCAATCTTTTTTCATATGATTACCATTCTGCCTTGGCAGTCTCAAAGCCTGAAGCAAAATCTTAGGACTAGATTTGCAAACAGCTTTCAGATGTCCAAGTCTTTCCTAGTCTCTAATGATTCAAGAGGGGGCTTTATGTTTAAAAGCCTACCTACAAAAACATAAAAATATGTACAGAGCATCCTGCTACCCTGGTTTCATGCCATCTGCTGTGATAGTACATGGTTTAACTCGGTGGGAGATTGGAGAGGTTGAAACAAAAAGATGTGGAGAAAATATGAACATTGAAATTTAAATGGAACAGTCCACGAAAAGCAGTTCCATTTGATTCAACTCAATATATAAACAGGCCCCTGCTATGTCATCCATAAATCATTTTTATTAAAAAGGACTGATTTTGTCACTACTGATCTTCAGTGTGGGGAACACTTGCACAGTGAAAAAGAGCAATCATTGACTGGCCAACCTACCAATGTAGGAAACTAGAGTTTATGATTTCACTGATTAAGTGTGACAAGGAGAGTCTCACTTTCCTGTTTATCCACTCCCAGATAGATACCAGGTCAAGACCAGAGCTTATGAACATGAGCTTATGTTCTGGAGTACAGCTCTCAGAATCCTCCAAGCAGCATAGCCAGTGAGAGTTGGCATTCCAAAATGAACTTTTACATAGTGTAGTCAAAATGCTGTTAATATTTCAGCAGTCTTTTGGCTTGGCTCCTGACATAATCATGTTTCAAGCAGATTCAATGAATCCATAGGCCTTAAGCTAGTTGTGACTAACTTTAGCTCCACTGATTTGGGGCTGAAGAAGTATAGCCATAGACTTGGCCCCTATCTGCTTTGCAAATCGAATATAAATTTTATAAACATTTTATACTGATTACAGGGAGAGGGGTTTAGACAAAAATGGAAACAAGAACAACAATGACACACTAATGGTAGTTATTAATGACATTGCCTAGGGTTTCTAGACTACTTAGCATCCTGCCCACAAAATGTCTTTCTATTCCTGTGGAGCAGCCACAAACAAACTGTGGTTGTTTCCATCGCCAGAGATCTACTTTATATGCTCTTCTTAGCTATTGAAAGTTGAGGCAAGTAGCATATGTAGCTTTCCCTATGTCTTTGGCCTTAAAGGCTAGCACAAATAGAGTCTCTCTTATCCAAAATGCTTGGGACCAGAGGCATTTTGGATTTCAGATTTTGTTTATTTTGTTTTTACTTTGGATTTCGGAATATTTGCAGAAGTAAGTGCAGTGGGAAGGCCCAGCCAGCTCCATCAAACCTCCCATGAGCCCTCCCTCTTTGCCATCTGATGGTCCAGGCCTTGGGAGGGAGAGAAGAACCGCTGGACTTATTCCCCTTCTGCACTGCCATTCCCTTCTGTGTCATGTCTTTTTTTAGATTGTAAGCCTGAGGACAGGGAAATGTCTAATTAACTATCTGTAAGCCGCTCTGAGAGCTTTTCTGGCTGAAGAGTTGGGTATAAATACAGTAAATAAATACCATTTATGTTTCATATACATTCAGACATAGCCTGAAGGTAATTTTATATATTTTTTAAAAAATTGTGCTTGAAACAAAGTTTGTGTACACTGAACCATCATCAGAAAGCATAGGTGTCACTATCTCAACCACCCATGAAAAAAGTTTTGAATTCTGGAGCATTTCAGATTTCAGAATTCAGATAAGGAAGATTCAACCTGTAGCTGTTTCAGGACTGAAGGCAGAACCATCACACACACAAACACACCACTCTACAATGCATCACAAGGATGACAAGCACTTCCTGGCTGTGGCCCGATAACTGAGCACATGGGTCCAAAACTTATTCCCAATCTTTTCCCAGTTATAGTGCTCACCCCCACATATGAGGCATATGGCGCTGAGCAGTCCTGTTTCGGCATCATCCATCTCAAGTGGCAGCAGCTGGTTGGCAAAGGCAAAGACCAGATCTGTGAGGGGCCCAAAGCCTGCATTATGCATCTGTGTGCGGTTGAGTGTCAGGCCATCTGAGAAGGTCATGGTGTCTTGATCTGGGGTGTAACGCGTACATATCCGAAGGATCTGGAAGAAGAATGTTAATTGCATCAGATGTATACCTACTCCTTCCACATGTGTTTGTATGTTGCTATAAACTAGGGGTTATGGTTTACTGAGGGGGGTACAGACATAGGTTGTGGGTCTTCTCAGAGAAGATCTAGATCAAGGGTAGGCAACCTTTTTGAGCCGGGGGCCGGGTTGCTGTCCCTCAGACAATTGGGGGGCCGAAACACCAAAAATAAATAAATTAATTTAAAAATTTTTTTAAAAATTAAAAATATGCATGCACACTCTCTCAGCCCCCAAAAAACAATGGCAAAACCGCTGTGGAGATTTTGCCAAGAAAACCCCAAGAACAAGTAATAACAACAATAATCAATATCATCATGGCGGGCGGTGGCGGCAGGCGGCAGCGGCAGGACCAGCCTGGGGCCGGTCCAAAGGCCTCGGGGGGCTGCATCTGGCCCCTGGGTCTTAGGTTGCCTACCCCTGATCTAGATGTTCAAAGTCCTTCCAGCCCCTACAAAGACTTTCTGACTTGTCTTACTTTTGCTATGTTTGATGGTGAGGAAGGACTGCTTACTTACCAGGATGTCTAGACAGGCAGCTTTGAGAAGTGTGATCTGATCAGCGATGGTGAGCGTGGTGAAACCTGGCAACTGCTTGGCGAATTCAACCGTCTTGATTATGCACTTTGTGGACAGTTCACTGAATTTGTCCCAGAGGTCTATATCGAGAGACACCCGCTGATCTGAACTGTTATTCTGGGGATGGGTGGAGAAAAAAGAAATCCAAGGTGAGATAATGGCACTTAAGATTCAAGCAAAAATATTTGATGGGAGACAGACAACAAATGGTTATAGTTATGAGATTGTTTTGAAAATACTTCTCATTTTTAATTTTAATACTTTTTATAACTTTTAAACTTTCTTAACTATTACTCATTTTGTTTATTTTGCAGAAAGTATTGATGAACTATGATAGTATTGATGTATTGCAATTGGCAAACTGGACTGAAAGACAGGATATTGTTCTTTATTGAGAACAAGACTGATTTAAGATTTTACTAGGGTGTATATTATAGGGACACCTGTTCATAGCCATTTGTTCATGAATGTCTATTAGTGGGCAATCGTTTTATCTGAAATAGCATATGTACTATGTGGCTTAAAGTAATCATTAGAACATCACTTTCTATGTTTTGCTGTTTCACAATGTGTTATGTGAGCTGAGGCATTCTGTAGTGTTACTCCAATTTCAACATAAAGCAGCGCCCTAAGAATAAATTATACAAAGTGTACAAACATGGGCAAATGTAACCAATTAGCAACATTCACTGAGATGACATAATATGGCTTCCTCTGCAGAGTAGAATAGGGGGATGTTGTACCGAATAGTCATAACCCCAATCATAGTATTTTCTCAAACCAATCGATGCCTCCCAACTTAGAGTCCCCAAACCAATTAGAGTTTTCGCCACTTATAATTCCTCCAGCCCCACCAGCTCTCCCTATTGAGCTTTCTCCTGTACTTTTTTCATTAACTTCAACTGCCACTTACCGTGGTATACTTGCCCAACTGACAGAGGGCAGGGAAGGTCTCCTGATGAGCCTTGCGGACTTTCTCAATCAGATTTTCTACCTCAGGAGTGATGATGTAGCTCTCTGAACATTCCTGCTTGGGAGCATCTTTCTTCTTCTTGTTTCTGTCATTCCTGACAGCTGAAAGGGAATGCAAAGAAGATGTCACAGGGTGAGTGGTGCTCTCCAAGAGTGATAAAAAATCAAGAGCCCT